CTGCGAATTGTCTTTGTTTGATTTTTCTGAAATCAAGTAGAGAGATGTTCACCCATCCATTGATTAAGTTGTTTGGTAGTGTGCCCAATATAGCTAACTCTGCAAAAGTACAATCAATTTCTACTATTTCATATTAGGTGTAATTATGCAATCTATCTTATTGTGTTTCCATTCACCCATAAATTGTCTTGATTAGTTTAATATTTTCATACGGATATTCATTTATAATGGAGTGAAGCCTGATGAAAGCCTAGATGAAACACAGTTTGTACGTTTTGTTCTTATTTTCACAATCGGATTCTTTAGGATTCCTGATTGTTACTAACCTAATCATTTATCATAGAGAGTCACTTGGACTAGTGACCATATTGTAACTTGATGAATATAATTCGACTAGACAATCATGACACTGCTCACTAATCAGTAATCAACCAACTGTTGAAAAAATAACCTATAAAAAACGAAAATAAGCATAAAAAGCTACTATTGTAGTGAACGAGAACACAAGCGGAATACAACAAAATGTATTTGAACACAAAATTACAGAATTTATTAGCAAAATCTGAGATTCATACAGTAAACACTTGCGAAATGTCAATCAATTATCTCAAACTTGAATGTTCCTTCATTTCTATACCAATCAATCTCTGTTCTCGTTCTCTTCTCTTCGATCTTCTTAACCTTTCGCCTCCAAACATTACAGTTTTGGTTGACCGTACATACTACTTATATCTGTCAACATCAGTAGCACACACAACACTATTTCTAAACTGTCTTGGTAAAAAATTAAAATAAAACTTTTATTCGATCATAAACTGGGACATTTGAATTAATATATAGGTTTTCAGTCTTTACATTCTTTCAGTGCTAAACTTTCTATTATTATTAATTCATTCAGGAGAGCTAATATACTAATTATGTTGTAGTGTCGGTTACTATGTTAAGCTCATATAACTTATTCTAGCTTCTGAACAGGCCAACTTATCCATTCTTCTTGAGTCACGTTTTGAATACGTATATTTCGTACAATTGTTGATCGAGACAAACGGTCGAATAAATGAAGCGAAGAGAATAGAACGAAACGAAATGACGCGCAGTGGAGATGGCGTGTGAACCAACTCCATTTAATCAAGCGTTATAGTCGTACAAAAATAAGCTACAGATATGTGATGAGTAGAATAAGAAGATCTACACGCACGTACGCTCATATAAAAACAATCAAAGTTGATAAGTGGATAATCAAAACGGTCAAAACATAACTCACAAAAAGAATGAATAACTTAGTCTGTCCATAGGCTAGAATAAGTTATATGGTTTTAACATAGTAACCGAGACTACAATATAAGAATACACCAATCATCTGATAATCTAACAATTTCCCTATGAATACAATGAAAAATGTAATAAAATTTATTGATCTGTTTATAAATAAAAAAAGTTCCACTTTATATCATCTGCTATCCACATAACATTATAGCTACCTCAAATAAAAGACAAAACCATATTTATAACAGCATAGAACTGTTTTAACATGTTAGATTTTCTTCATTGTAATACGTTTTATATTCATAAGTCATTGTTAAATTTTTATTGACCCTAAGAGATACTTCAATCAAGTACGTTAAATCTTTGTAGTGATTCATTTAAACATTTAATTCTTTAAGTATACATGTTGTTTTGGACATCATTAAAATAATGTTCAACAGATTATGACATTAAAACTTTCCCCAAGAAGCTTCATTTAATAACCTAGATTCCTATTTATTTTATTACCAAGTTAAAACTATAGATTGAAATGAGTATCAAAATAGTTAAGATTTGGAAATTCCATATGTATGCTACATTGATGTATTAAGGTTTATCAATAAACCAAGTGCTGAGTCACTTAGACTACCAATAACATGACATGTTGATCATTGATTAACGTCACGAATCAGATACATCAATAGTTACTAATTAGTAATTGTTTACTGTAGATTATTCAATACTTTTTTTGTTACACAGTAACTAATTCAACTCTCTGTGTGTTTAACTGGAGCCAGCTAATTTTTGAAGTATTTTTTTAACAATTTCATTCACGAGTCAATCTTATATAGACCACCATTAAAAACATAGAATCACTGGACGATCGTTCCGTCTTAGTATTACTCCTCATGAGTGTACACCCACTATCCTGCATGTGGGACTCAAAACCAGGACCTTCAGTCTTGTGCGCAAACGCTTAACTTGTAGACCACCAAACTGACATCCAACAGTGTTAGTGTCTTACTACAATCCATCCATGATCTTTTTTTTCATAGAAAAAACAAACAAACTATAGGCTACAATATCTTTATAACATCAAAAATCTCACACATTCATTTTACAAATAGACAAATTATTACTTTATTATTAGACAGCAGCTGTTTATCCGGTTAACAAAAACAATGAAGTGAAATGATTTCATAATCAACTTTTCTTTTTCTAACCATCATTCTTACTTTGTTTATTTGAATGTATTTTGTAAGAAATTCCTTTATGTAATAGATATATCTTCAAGCATATAAATATATTCTCATATATATAGTTATATATTCAATAACACCGAATACATATGCGCCATATAATTCACTTGATTTGTGTGTGGGCTGTGATACTGCCCGGGTGAACAAACCGAAGCCGGTGGCTTTTTAGGGGATCACACACGGAGCCTTCGACCAATAGGGCTGAGCCACAAGCTAGTGAAGAAACGTCAGGAGATGAAGTCCTATGATAGCCGGTGACCAATAAGTTTATATGCTATTCGTTCCTCCAGGATTTTGGAGACTATGTGCACTATTGGTTTGGAATCACGGCTCTTCAACTCACCAATATGAACTGTCCGTATCCACCAACCCAGTTAAAGTGCAGGATGTTCGCTTCTCATCCTCTCAATTTCGTTATTATTAATGCTTCCACTGCGAGAAGGCAGTGAGTAGGTCTTCTTTAACAGTGGCTGTATACGCGTTGCCATGTGAGAGCATTTCGAGAGGGATTATGGACTTTCCTCACACTCGGCCGTACCACGGCTTCGAATCTTATTCTCAGAAAGGGGTTTTGTGAAGAATGTTGTAGTTTTAGTCGACTCATAAATTCAACTATTAAAAATCTTAATTGTACAAAGTAAGAAATGAAAATAATTGAAGACTAGGAAAAAATTAGTTGGAATGTCGAGAGTGAGATAGTTACTCTCCTAGTGCATTAGAAGATGGTTGCCCGACATTATGAATCGACGGAAGTTAAAAGTGTAAATCATTGAATACTTCTGACTCAATGATCCAGAGACCAGACGCTGGCGCGAATTCAATTCCTCATCATGGAGACATAAATGAACACTACTGAGAAGTCCCAGACTAGGAAAAACTAATCTTCTTTTTTTTCCTAAATTAGAATGATTATTTATTTAGTTACTGTCTGTGGTGCAGATAAATGCAATTGAAATATAATCGAAATAATAGTAATATCTTGACTTCTCATAATTATCTTACAGAAATCTAATGGCATTGACTACTTTTTCATTGTCACATTTTTACAGATTTCATCTTGAGAACTGATTTCATCTTCAGATGAATCATATAATATATAATGGAATTTCTGATAGTCGTATATGACCTAACTATTGTCTATACGATGCATAATCAGATAAGTTTCTTTTTAGTAAATAACACGCAATTCAACTAAGGTAGATCTTTTCGATGATGGTCAAACTATACAATCCTATATATTCATTAAAAATTAAAGATTGGGTTTGTTTTTGGAAATATGTTTTGCAAAGCTTTATATTTTCTATTCGTTAGTAACTAGGATTTAGTGTGATCGGTCTCTTTCGATAGTAGGAACTCAATGATATTGTTGATGTGAACAAATTGACAGTATTTTGATACGTAGCCATCAATAGTGTCAGTTACCAGTATTTTATCCAATTTAAAATATGTTATTACAATTTACTTACATCTTACTGTTTATAATAACATTGAGAATTGAATTTAGCACTTATCAATTAAAACGTTAGTGTGTTATCTTCCAAAAATGACAAAATAACATTGTCTCCTCACTTGTGCAGTAGATTATATTGTTAAATTACTGTTTGTATGAATTTGTTTGATAAATAGGACTAAATTTATTTGTAAAGGATTGGATTTTTCACTTGTTAACATTATGAACAACAATTGATCAGTCTCTAAAATACTGAATTTCATCGATGTTTACTGGCATAAACGCTGTTCAAGTAGACGTTTTGAGATTATATACATATTACTTACTTACTTACTTACGTCTGTTACTCCCAATCGAGCATAGGCCACCGACCAATATTCTCCAACCCAACCCAATCTGTTCTGAGCCTTTCTCTTTAGTCCTATCTATTTGTTGTTCATTCTTCTCATATCTGTTTCCATTTCTCGACGTAAATGTATTCCTTGATTTTCCTCTCCTACTTCAGCCATGAGGATTCCATGTGAGGGATTGCCTTGTGACACAGTTGGATGCTTTCCTCAATATGTGTCCTATTCACTATCAGCGCTTCTTTCTGATTTCTTCCTCCACTGGGATCTGTTTTGTTCTTTCGCACAGTAGTCTGTTGCTAGTAGTGTCTGGATATATATATAGGTGGCATACTATTTCCCCTAAGTTTCAACAATCCAACCACTATTCCAACTAACGTTATTCATAAAAATTTGAAATTGTGTGATTATTTCATTTTAAAAAATCTTATATTAGTAACTATGTAGGTGTGTGTGTGTGTTCAATTGAGTTTCTTTTTTAAAAATAATTTACATAGACTCAATCAATCAAAATTAAACATAATGAATGTGAAGTCAATTTGTAACTGATCATATAATGAAACAAATCGATTGTTAAATGAAAATATTACTGTTACTATTAGTATCACAAAAATGTTCTAACATTTTGTGTTCACATTACTTAACACTAATATAATCTTTATCATCCTTATCACCACCACCATCATCATCAACATTGTCATGTCAAGTTTGAATACAGGAAATAGAAAAAAACTAAACGGTAAGAGATAAACATTAACTTAAAAAGATAATTTGCTTTAATGTTAAAACAATACAAAGTGAAGTTTTAATTTTTTTTTCAATGTTGGTTTTGTTTCTTTACCGTTCTGTTATACTTTAAATGATTGATTTATCACTGATTATTATTATTATTATTATTGTGAATAATGATGACAGAAGTTACTAAGCTAAAATTGACCGAAAAGAAAACGACAACAAGAAAAAATCGAAAATAAAGATTATTGACGTTGATAAGTAGAAAATTAATTTCAAGTTAATTCTTAAAGTTGAAATAAAGAAATGGAATTATTCTTTCCAAAAACATCAATAGATCAGTTATGTTTTAATGGAGATAATTTGGTTGGCTGGTTAGAGTAAAAAGCAGAGAGCCACTAAAATTTATTTATTTATTATGTTATTGATTAATAAATAGTAAGTTTAAAATGTTGTTTGAATAATTTCTGTTGGGGACGTTAGATCCACAGAACTCACTTGGAAAATGTCTTCATTTTGTAAGTTTGTTTAGAAAATTCGAATTTCTTTGTTTTCGCGCCAAAGGCGTTCATTTCGGCTTCATATCGTATTTTTTATTTGGGAGAATCTTAAATGACATTGGTCTGTTGTGTCTTTTAGTATGCTATTTTGTGAAGATTCATAGGGATGGTTTCGTGCTACATATTTATATATATATAGCACAAAACCGGTCCTATGAATCTTCACTATATATATATATATATATATATATATATATATATATATATATATATATATATATATATATATATATATATATTTATTTATTTATTTATTTATTTGTGTTTCTTATTATCGCTCGTGCTTCTGGCTGTTTGTGGAATATACTTCCACGTTTGTACTTCGACTTTTCTCTCTAGTTAGCGGGGCTAGGACACAATACAATAGCTAGTTTATTGATCATTGATCACAAGTTTTTTTCCGTTCACAATCTAAGTGAACTCGTAATCGCTTCAAACCTAGTAATTTCATAATGATTTTGGTTTAATTAAATAGTTCTGTAGCAATAGTGTGGTGTGCTACTTATATTGATATAAGTAGTATATGACGCGAGTTAAAACGTAATGTCTGGCAGCAGAAGATGAGGGAAAGATCAAGAAAGGAAGAGCAAGAACACAAATGGAATTTGTAAGAAAACGTATGAACAATGGAATGGGAGACAATGGATTGGTGTTTACAACAGAAACAGCTCAGTTTGATTTGATGCGTTAATATTTTGCAAATTGACGATTTACTATATGGTATTCAGATTTTGTTAAGATAGACTGTAATTGTTGTGCTGAATACATCCGGTTGTCCCCATCAGTGTTCTTTTCACTATAATAGCTAATCAGTTGCTAAGTTAATGAGTTTATAGATGTCAGTGTCGAGGTTAGACTGAACAGTTTCAAATAAATTGAGCATTGGGTGTAAAGTGATAAGTCTTATCGATTTGAACGCTATATTAGTTTCCTAAGCTATTCTGGTAACCCGCTAGCTAGAACTACACAGCGAATTGAACACCAGAGAGAAGAAGCAAGTATGAGGGAAAATACTTTACTCCAAGGTTCATTCTATTACAGAAAGTATAGGGTCTTTATAATATTTTAAGTGTCTTTGGATCGCTGGAATATTCCGGAATGCTACTAAACATAGTAGCACTGTAGTAGCCAACCAATCAAAGCTTCCGCATGTAACGTTTCGCTACCTTGATATTACTGGCCAAGATTCCAAGTGAACGCTGATTGGACGAAACACTTCTTAGTCTTGTCTTTTGCAAGCGATTTCTGGATCACCCCAACAGAAAGTTAATAAAGAATATATTTTTTTCTTTGTTATATCTTAATGAGAAGAAAAATTGTATTCCTGATATTTTGTGACTTAATGTAAGCTATTTCTTAAGAGTAGATGACCTAGCCCTCCTATCACATACACATCAACAAATGCAGATGAAGACAACTAGTGTACCAGCAGTCTCTGCATCAGTAGGACTCAACGTACACAAAGGAAAAACCAAGGTCCTCAAATACAGCACGGGCAACACCAAGCCAATCACACTTGATGGAGAAACTCTGGAAGATGTAGAATCTTTAATGTACCTAGAAAGCATCATCGGTGAACGATGAGGTTCAGATGCAGACGTAAAGGCGAGATTTGGTAAAGCAAGGGCCTCATTCTCATATTTGGAGAACATATGGAACTCAAAACAACTTTCAACAAATTTCAAAGCTGATTTTCTTAATATATATCATTCAGCAGTTGAGATCATGAGTCAATTGAAGCTAGACCACCACGGAAAACCTGAAAGCACTGGACGGCCGTTTCGTCCTATTGTGAGACTCCCAAACAGTACGTATCCACGACTCCGTCTCGCGGGTTTCGAACACAGGACTCGTGACCTCAACCATTCAAATTACTACAATCTCCACAAAACCCCCTTCTGATACTAATCAATATATGCTCACTAGTGACTGGCTTCAAGAAGTATATCTTGGAGTTCTCACGAGAAGTACTGACCAGTGGAGTTCAACCGTGTCAGTTGTGAGGTAGTAACTCACTGACGACAATGGTGGATGTGTCGTTCAATTTCGTGAGTTAGTTGAAGTTAGACATTAACACCGTTGAATACCGGCCGTTTCAGTGGTCTAGTGGTTAAGCGCTCATGAGCGAGGTCGAAGGTCGTGAGTCTGAATCCTGAGTGCGGGATCGTGGTCGAGCACTACTTAGGAGTTCCATACTACAACGAAACAGCAGTCCAGTGTTTCCAGGTTTTCCATAGTAGTCTAGCTTCAATCGATTCATGATCTCAACTGTTGAAATTACTACATTCTCCACAAAACTCCGTCTGATATATCATTCAATGTATCTAAATCAAAATTGTATTTACATTAACTATTGCACTGTAATCTAACATTTCTCTATAATAAATTTATACTCAACAACAGTGACCAAGTTAATTATTGTTTTAATTAGTTTTCAAGGTTAACAACTTTATAATAGAAAAGAAAAGAAAAGAAAGAAAACTGTTGGCATGTTAGTTTCTTTCTTTTTATTTTTTTTCTTTTCTCTTCTGAAATTTTTAAATCCTTAAAGCCTTTCAAATGTTAATAAGAACATTAACGATTATTCAAAACATATGAAAACAGTAGAAAATTCTGTTCATTTAATCTTCTTTTCTTTTTTTTTCTTTCTTTATTTTTCTTTTCATTTTTCTTTTTAAAGAATAAATTTTAAAAAAAAACTTTACCAGTTGATTCAATGTAATAATGGAAAATATCCCATTTTCTTATACACACCACCAACATTTACTTAAAATAATCCCTTTAATTCAGTATTAATAATAATACCGATGATGATTCATAGGGGTATCTCTTTAAAAATTAAAAAAAAATAATAATAATAATTCAAGGTGTAATTAACTTAACTCTCACACATCGAATTTATTGAACAATAAAAACATCCCTACCTCATCTCACCTCACCCCATTTCGCACCCACCCCTCTCCTTCGCTTAATTTTATCATAATGTTATTTTTCTAAACTAAAAAGACTTAAACCTAAATTACTTTACTAAAATAAAAGTCATTTGTAGTTTCATAAAGAAAACACGAATATGTAAGTTTTATTTATTTGTAAAATAGAACGCATTAAAAGTGAAGTAAAATAATGATGAATCATACAAACTATATATATAGATATTAGAAGAGTTAAGCGAATAATCCTTAATTCTGATTGTCGCCAAGATATAATACTGAATAAAACGGTACAATTGTTTGTTTGTATGTTTGTTGTTTTGTTTTTCTTACTCAATAGTAAAAAAGAAGAGAAAAAAATAAACGTTGGAGAAGGTAACTTTGCGTGCTACATAAAAGTTAACTTCTTGTTCTCCTTTCTTTATTACATATGACTGTGAAATGTATTCACATTTAGTTTGTTTTTCATTTATTAAAGATGAAATAATAAAGTACGTTGATTTTATTTTAATATCATTATCTAAGTATACACTTGAATAGGAAACATTGTTGAATAGTGTCAATTAACAATGATTGTTTTAGAACACACACACATACATGCACAAAGAAGGGATTGTTTACATATATACAAGAAGTATTCGAATATTTTATTGTTTCAATTCATAGTTTCTTTTCTCTTTTATCTGCGTGTATACACTTAATATTACTAATTGTCTTTTAATTACTATTTCACATCTAGTATGGAATTGGAATACACGTTTACAAATGATTAATTCATTTAGGATACCATTTTCAATATTGATTGTTTCATATCGAATGAAAACAATCCTTTTATATTATAAATATAAATATATTATACTACATTATTAACTATACATTTACTCTGTTATAATAATCTATAAAACATTGATAGTGAAAGCTTTTAAGGACCACCAGAAACTATACATAGAATGATTTGTTTATGTTTTGTTTTTGTTAAAGCAACTATAATCATTGATCTTTTAATTGAGATAATGATTTAAATGAATCACATGGTAGTGTAGTGTTTGGCAGTTAATTTGCAAGTTTTATGGTTGCAAACGTAGACTTTAGAACAGCATGAGCGAGAAAAGAAAATCTGAAATAAAGGAACAAGAGTAATAATCAGTTAATGACTCAATAACAAAAAAGAATTCATGTACATTTATTAATGAAGAGAATCGATAGCAGTCAAAAATAACATGAGATTAAGATAATTCGACGATGAGCAGTAAAAGTGCAAGCATAGAGTTTCAAATCTGTTACAGGTAGGCTTAACTGTTTAGTATAGTAAAATGGATTCCTAATAAAGAATGCTAGCTGCAACAAAATCTGTTGTGTAATTAGTAATATATATATTACTTACTTACGTCTGTTACTCCTAATGGAGCATGGCCGCCGACCAGCATTCTCCAACTCACTCTGTCCTGGACCTTCTTTTCTAGTTCCATCCAATTCTTGTCTATCTCCATTTCCCGACGTAATGTGTTCTTTGGTCTTCCTCTTTTCCTTTGGCCTTCAGGATTCCATCTGGGGGCTTGTCTTGTGACCCAGTTGTGTGCTTTCCTTAATGTGTGTCCTATCCACTTCCAGCACTTCTTACTGATTTCTTCCTCCGCTGGAATCTGGTTTTTTCTCTCCCACAGTAGGTTGTTGTTAATAGTGTCCGGCCAACGGATCCGAAGTATTTTGCATAGACAACTGTTAATAAACACCTGTATTTTCTGTATAATGGTTTTCGTAGTTCTCCAGGTTTCCGCCCCGTAAAGTAGAACTGTCTTGACATTTGTATTGAAAATCCTGACCTTGGTGTTGGTTGACAGTTGCATTGAGTTCCAGATGTTCCTCAATTGTAAATATGCTGCTCTTGCTTTATCGATCCGCGCCTTCACATCTGCATCAGATCCACCCTGTTCATCAATGATACTTCCCAGATATGTAAAGGTTTTTCCATCTTCTAAATCTTCTCCGTATATATATATATATATATATATATATATATATATATATATATATATGTTATAGGAATAGTCAGAAAGATTTTCTCACGTCATATCATATATTACATGTAAAGTGTAACTGGTTCAGATTGAAAGTAACTTAAAAAAACACTTACGTAAAGAGAATAAAAAATGAATAGGTGCTTACTGTTCGTTAATAGTTTGTGTTATTTAAACTTCAATGTAGTTAAAGTTAAGTCTAGTGATTTCTTGATCAATAGACTGACGAAAGATGTTTTGTTCAATCAGCATCAGTTTATCAAATTTTCAGTACACCTATAGCAATAGATGTTCAGATGAAGTATAACTGATCACTAATTACACGATATCTTTATACAATTACTGATTCAGATGCTTTATCGGTAACTGTTATTACGCAGCCTGCCCAGCAAATCAACTAGTAAAAAGACACATAGAGACAAGAAAGTTTCTTTTCAATAAGTTGTTGAATATGGCGCTACACAACTATATATAATATATATAGCCCTCAAATGCCATGGTATGGCTGAGGGTGAGGAGAGTCCACAATCCCTCTCGAAATAATCTCACATGACAACGCGTATACAGCCACTGTTAAGGAAGTCCTACTCACTGCCATCTTGCGGTGGGAGCATTGTTTACGAAACTGAGAGGATTAGAAGCGAATATCCGGCACTTTAACAGGGTTGGTGGATACGGACAGTTCATATTGGTGAGTTGAAGAGCCATGATTCCAAACCAATAGTGCACATAGTCTCCAAAATCCTGGAGGAAGGAATAGCATATGAACTGGCTATCATGGGACTGTGTCTCCTAACGTTACTCTACTGCGCTATGGACTATATATATATACAATAAAATAATACTAGGAAGAAACGCTTGTCCTGGATCCCATTGTAACCACTATCCAACTTCATTTAAAAATGCTTCTAGATTTATGTTTCATCGCTAAAAAAACTAGTAGACAATCGCTTACAAAGAAGTACACTCACAATCTGATATACGAATAAATAATGAATTCTTATTTTAATGCATCTGTGCTTCTTAGTGTTTTTCTACTTGTATTCTTTGCTAATTAGTTATAATATTATGCAGAAATATTTCTTCTGTCATGATTCTTTACGATAAATTACTGCTTTAAATTAATGCCTTTAGGCGTTCATTTTGTCCACTAACTTCCTTCATCGTTTTGTTTTTCATTATTACTACTAAGTAAGATGTATTTTTACTGAAATTCACCTTAATTCTGTTATTTAACATAAAGGAGAAATTTGTTATGTAGCTTGACAATCATCTAATACTATTGATAGTGATTGTCTCGTTTAAAAAAAATGGCAAAATTCCACTGATTACAACTTCTTAATAGAACTACGTGAACCCATACTGAAGTAAGCCACTAATGATCATATGGTTATATTCTATATAAGAGATTTCGTTTAGACAAGTACAAATTAACATTAACTATTTCTACCTGGAGCTTGTGCTGATGATATCGTTCAGACGAACGATGAAAGCTCCACGACTTAACCATTCAGCTCAAAGAAAAAATCTCTGTCAAAAACATTAACTAACTCTTTAAATGAAATAAGAATTTCGATAAACACTTGCTGATGACATTAGATGGAATCATATGATAAATTACAAGTAATCTAAAGTTCAATCAATAAACCATCATTAGTTGTTGTTTTTTGTCCAAATAAATACTCAAAGGTTCTAAATATGATTATACATTAGGTAATTAGTATACACAACTGAAAGGTACCAAAATCAGGACAACTTTAAGAATTCTATAATCTTCATAGGTTGATCATTATTACATACAACATTTTCTTTATTAAGTAAAGATGGATAATCGTTAGCAGTGGAATCTAGGATGAGCGTTTCATCCTATCTGGGACTCGTCAGCTAGATGTACCTACATCTCAGACTTGATGTTCACTCTGGGAAGATACAAATAAAACAACAAATGAATTTTCTTTCTTATTCTTAACTAACTAGATTTTATACAAATGTATAGGCTTTTTTTTTAAAAAATTATAATATAATATTCTGAATTTTATAATCAGTAGTCCTTTAATGTCATTTTTTTTATTTCTAAATAATTGTCACTAAACCTCAGGAAACTCTGTATAAATGATAAAATCAAAACAAGGAAAACAAAGGTAAAGTTTCAGAAATGTTTCTATGTTTGTATGTATGTATGTATGTATGTATGTATGTATGTATGTATGTATGTATGTATGTATGTATGTATGTATGTATGTATGTATGTATGTATGTACATGGGTGTGTGTGGGTGTGGGTATTTGTGTACACATATATACATAATCATTATAACATAACTTGAAGAGAATATAACTTCCTGAATCTATGCCTATTTCTTATTTACCCTTTTGATTAAATTGTATCAAAATTTAAAAATTTCATTCAATAATAAAACAATCTATTCCTTAATTCTTCTATCAGATAATTTACATTGTGTTTCGCATTTTCTCTTTCATCATTGAATAATATTTACGTAAATTAAAATTGTTTTATTGAATAAGATATTTTTATATTAAAAATGTTAGATTATTGGATTACTAGTAAATTACATAGACATTTGAAAACAATGAAATAGTTGTTTCATTTTAGTAATACTGTGGTGGTGTGCTGCTTATATTGATATAAGTAGTATATGACACGAGTTATAAAACGTAATTTCTGACAGCAGAATATGGGGAGGGGGAAGTTCAAGAAAAGAAGTGCGGGAACACAATGCAATTTGTAAGAAAATGCATGAACAATGAAATGTGAGACAATGGATTGATGTTTGCAACAGGAACAGTCCAGGTTGATTTGATGGATTAATATTTTGCAAACTAACGATTTGCTATATGGTTTTTCTAGTTTACCAAATAACTCTGTAATTTCGTGTTAAATACATTCGGTTGTCCCTACCCGTGTTGTGTTTACTACAATACAACGTTTCAACTGTATACATGAATTATATCATTAAGGATAGAGGCTAGAACCATTTTGTAATGTTGTGGTATGTGCTGCTTATATTGGCATAAGTAGTATATGATGTTCGTCGTAAACAGAAGGTCTGGCAGCAGAAAGACAAGAGGATCGAACAGTAAAGAATGGAAATAGGATGCAATTTGTATGGAAATGCAAGAACAATGAAGTCTGAGTCACTTTGAGACCATCGATGGACATTTTGCAAATTAAGCATTTACTTTATGATTGTTAGATTTTATTAACAAGTCTTGTAATTTTTTGTCAAATACATTCGGTTTACCTCACCTGTGTTCACCTTCACTACAATATCAGTTTACTTTTTGAATTACAATGAAATGATTATATAATAATAATGATTGTTTCAAATCCTATGATAGTGATTTCCGTACTTTATTTAGTTTTTTTTCTTCATTTAAGGATTACTTATGAGGCTCTGTAATGTGTGCTACTGATGTCGACAGGTATAAGTCTAGTGAAAAAGAACACAAGTGGAGACAATCGAATGTAACTGAACACTAAATTACAGAATATCAATAAAATCTGAGAACCATATAATAAATAGTTCATTTGCAAAATATCAATCCATCGTCACAAATTTGACTGTTCCGTTTGCAAATATCAGTCCATTGTCTCAGATTTCATTGTCCATGCATTTTCATACCAATTGCTTACTGTTTTCGTCCTTTCCTTCTCGATCTTCTACTGAAATACATTCTATTTCTGGCTATCGTTATATACTACTTATGTGGATATAAGTAACCCACACCAGATAAGTAGTATGTGTCGTCAGTCGAAAGTGAAATGCCTCGTGGTAGAAGGTTATGAAGATCGAAGAGAAGAGAACGGGAACAGAAAGTGATTAGTATAGGAATGAAGAACAATCAAGTTTGATATTTTGTAAATGAAGTATTTACTGTATGGTTCTCAAATTTTACTAAGAGATTCTGTAATTTTGTATCCAAATATATTTGATTGTCCCCACTTGTGTTCTCGTTCACGAAAACATTAGTATATATTTTTTATTCCAAATTAAATTTAGCTTTGACACTAAACGCAATGATTTTAATCTGTCATTGGATTTTAAATCTGCGTTATTTTTGAAGTTATTTGATCCACTCAACAGCTCATATCTCAGTTTAAGAACTGCTTTTTTAATGTTTATTTATGCAGTTTCTAAT